GCCTCGGCCTCCCAAAGTGCTGGGATTACAGGCTTGAGCCACCGCGCCCGGCTGAGATTTTTTTTTTTCTTTTTTTTTTTGAGATGGAGTCTCATTCTGTCACCCTGGCTATAGTGCGACAGCGCAGTCTCAGCTCACTGCAACCTCTGCCTCTCAGGTTTAAGTGATTCTCTCGCCTCAGCCTCCCAAGTAGCTGGGCTACAGGCGCGTGCCACCACATCCTGCTAATGTTTGTATTTTTAGTAGAGATGGGGTTTCACTGTGTTGGCCAGGGTGGCCTTGATCTCCTGACCTCCTGATCTGCTCGCCTCAGCCTCCCAAAGTGCTGGGATTACAGGCGTGAGCCACTGTGTCTGCCCTGAGATTTTTTTTCTTGATTCTCTTATTGACCTGAGAAAAATACTTGGCAAATGACTGACGTATATGGCACTACCTTTGTCTATCTACAAAAAGACAACTCCTGTATTTGCTTTTTTTTTTTTTTAAGAGTTGCAGATTATTTTAGATTTGGGGGTACATGTACACGTTGGTTACCTGGGTATACTGTGTGATGCTGAGCTTTGGGGTACGATTGATCCTGCCACTCAGATAGTGAGCCTAGTACCCAAAAGGTACTTTTTCAACCCTTGCCCACTCCCTGCTCCCCACCCCTGGGAGTCTCCAGTGTCTATTGTTGGCATCTTTTTGTCCATGAATGTTCAGTGTTTAACTCCCACTTATAGGTGAGAACAGGGGGGTTTTGCTTTTTCTGTTTCTGTATTAATTTGCTTAGGATAATATCCTCAAGCTGTACCCATGTTGCTGCAAGGGACATGATTTTGTTGGGTTGTATTTTTTATGGATGTGTGCTTGCTGCTTCTGTACATCTGATTAGAATTTCCATTTTTTGAGCAATGACTTTGAAGTAGGTTTGTCATTTTATCTTTTTGAGCAAAGTAAAGGAGCCATTTCTAGTTCTGATATTTTAAATTTAACTTTGCTTTCCATTACATTTGCCAGTATGTACTTGTATGGTACTCACTGAACTACAGATCATTCTGAATTACTCTGTTGGGAGGTCATTTTCATTGTTAATTCTTATGTGTGTAGGATCCTAAGCTGCCTGTAATGAAATAGTAATGTATGATTGTCCAAGAACTTCACCTGTTTCCTAGATGGAGTGAAGTGACCAGGAAATTGGAATTCTGGGTTCAAATCTTGGAACAGAATGAGAATGGTGAATACTGCCCCGTAGAAGTGATTTCTGCAAAGGATGTCCCCACAGGAGGAATTTTCCAGCTACGGCAGGTAACAAGATTGTGAATGTTAATATTAGATTCTTTGGTACCAGAAAGCTTAATATTGGCTTCTTTTTAGCAGAAATGTTGGCGATAATGAAATCTAGACTGGCCAAGTCCATTTCTTATGTTAAAATTCCCCTATCTTGTGTGTCACAAGTATTGCTATTAAATTTTTTTTTCTTTTAATAAAGTAGAGACACGGGGATCTCACTTTGTTGCCCAGGCTGGTCTTGAACTCCTGGCCTCAAGTGATCCTCCTGCCTTGGCCTCCCATAGTGTTGGAATTACAGGTGTGAGCCACTGCTCTCAGCCAAGTATTGCTATTTATAATATTTTTAAAACCAGTTCTGTTAGTGTTAGGTAAGAAAGAGATAAGTTTTAAAGGAAAACTTAGAATTAATTTGTAGGACATAAACCAAACATATCAGACACCTTAGAACATTTATGAAGACAAGGAGAAGTGATGTGACTTGGCGGAAAGAATTAGCATTCAGACTCTCACATGATTGGGCTTAATTCTGGCTCTCCAGCATCCTAGCTTTCTGTACCTGAGCAAGTTCAATAACCTCTTGCCTTCACTTGTTCGGTAGTCACGATGATAACACCAACGTCAAAGGATTAGTGTGAGGATGAAGAGAGGTGTGTTTAAGCACAGGGCCTGACACATAGCAAGTGTTAACATAAATGCAGCTGGATAGAAACACAGACCAGAATCCACAGAACAGAGAAGGATGTCGGAGTGGCCACTTAACCCCCACGTGCATCTACAGAGTCTGTGCTGCCAACTAATAGTGACAGGCAAATTGTTAATTTAATTCGTATACATGATTTGGAATTTTTTTTGCTATCCTTGACATTAATACAATGTTTAGGTGACTCCCATGTTCTATGACAGTTTCCATACTTTAAAACAGAAGTAAAATATTAGAATCACTCTAGAAAATGAACGTAGAAAGCATTCAAAGCAAAACAGAGAAAATTAAAAGGTAAGAAAAATTGCTGAAATGTTTAAGTTTCTGAATGTTTTAAGAGGAGGACAATGATAAACACTTGTTCTCTGACCCCAGCAAATAAATTTTAGCAAAGTGAAAGGAGCTGAAATTAAAGCATGTGTTATACACATAAAGTCGAATTCTTAAGGGTGTGAAGAACATCTTTTTCTGAGGATCTGTTAAAAAAAATTTATCTTCTTCAAAGCCTTAGAAATTCATCTACTGGAAGGCAAGACTGGATAATTTTCTATGATTTAGTATAAATTGGATATTTAAATATTTATCAAACTTCCGATACTCTTTACTAAAAGCATTCAAAGAAATGTTGGGTTTTTCAGGAAAGGGCTTTTTGGAGGATATGCCTCTTTACCTTGATGCTGAAAAAATCATGCAAAGTCTGAAAGGGTTTTTCTTACATGATGGCAAAAACCACAATTACTTTTGCACCAACCTAATGTTGATGGCAAGAATAAAGACACAGAGGCCAGAAATTAGGTCCATCTGATTGAAAGTCATGTGGACAGGCCAGGCGCGGTGGCTCACGCCTGTAATCCCAGCACTTTGGGAGGCCAAGGCGGGTGGATCACGAGGTCAAGAAATCGAGACCATCCTGGTCAACATGGTGAAACCCCGTCTCTACTAAAAATACAAAAAATTAGCTGGGCATGGTGGCGCATGCCTGTAATCCCAGCTACTCAGGAGGCTGAGGCAGGGGTATTGCCTGAACCCAGGAGGTGGAGGTTGCGGTGAGCCGAGATCGCATCATTGCACTCCAGCCTGGGTAACAAGAGTGAAACTCCGTCTCAAAAAAAAGAAAGTCATGTGGACAATGAACTGGAAAGCAGAAAGGGAAGAGGTTGCAGAAGCTCGTGGCAGCTGCTTCGGAGGGTCTTGAATGTTGAATGCTCGGCTCATGTGACTGTAACATGTTTAGAAGTTGGGATGCATGTTCTTGAACAGGAAGGTGGCTGAGGACAACTGATTAGGTTAAACCATGTGAAAATCGCTGTTTTAGTTGAAACAAATGGTCAAATATCAGCAGTGACGAGAAGTTCTGTCTAATAGTTTATGTGTAGTTTTAAAAGTTTTTCTGTGGAATAGTAAACCATTCCCAAATCCTCTCCCTCCTCTCCTTATGAATCTTCCCTTAAAGTGCACATTTCACCCTTCACTCTTAGGCATACATTCAAAATAGATCATTTTGGAAAGTGCTTAGGCAAACCAAGCAAACAAAAGGTAGCTAATTGTAATGACAAAACTGTTTAGGCTATAAAATATTTTCTTTAAGACTTATCCCCCAAAATATGTGAGGCTTAGTCCTTGGTAATACTAATTTGGAAAACATCCATATCCTATCCATTCATATGGAGCTTGATAGGATCAGTGGTTGCCTGAGTTGGTTTTCCTGATCATGCAGAGCTCTTGGGAGCTAAAGTCTGATGGAAGAGGGCAAGGGTAATTGACTTGCAATTGAACATGTATATTCCATTTTTCAAATGCTGTTTTACATTGCTAAAATTTACAAATCAAGTTTGAAGTCAGTAATTTGGGAATACTGTGAATTCTCTTTTAAAGTATTAATTCATTGTAAATATATACCAGGTCCCACATAATAAACAATCTGAGCAATCATAATTACTGATATTGTATTTACTAATCATTATATTTATAATTATGTAACTATATAATTGATATATTAGTGATAATGTACTTACTGCTATGTCAGTAAATTAAATATATATACACAAATTATATACATAATACTGATATATTGACTGATATTTACACTTTCTGATACTGATTTATTTATATTTACTGATATTATATTTATATTTACTGGTACTTTATTCTTTATTATGTCATATGTTTTTCTACAGTAATACTTTAACAACTATATAGTGTTTCATTATATGTACCGTGGTTTATTTAAAGTTACCAATATTATACATTTAATTCATATCTAATTTTTTCTTTTTAGAAGTGCTTAAGATTTTTTATGTATATGCGTGATTATTTACTTAGCTTCCTAGAAAGTTGAATTGTTGGGTTAAAGGAACTTACACTTTTAACTCAAATTGCCTTGCAGAAAACTTGTACCCATTTAAATTTCCACTTACAGTGTATGAAATTGTTTCATAAACACAGGGCATTATTGGAAATTCCCCTTCTAAAAGATAATTGCCAGTTTAGGAAGTGAAAATAAAGGTGTATCATGCTTTATTTTAATTTGTATTTATTTAATTATCAGTCAGTTGAACTTTTTTATTGGCCAGTGTTTGCATTTCCTTTGTTAGTTTTTTTTAATGTTTCTTCTTATTGATAGCATATATAACCTTATATTTATTCTGTTTTTTAGCTCACTTAAGAGGGAAATGATTTTCCTGATTAGTTTTTGAATTTGTATTTTAATGCTTAATAAGATATGGTGACTGTGTCTGAATTAAACATTTTTTCTCAACATCAGCCTGTAGGGGTCTCTCTAAACCAAATTGTTCGATAGCAGGAAACTGATTTTAAGACTCTAAATTGTCTGTGACCCAGGGGCAGTCCCGGCGAGTTCAAGTGGAAGTGAAGTCGGTACAGGAATCTGGAACTTTACCCCTGATGGAAGAATGTGTATTGTCTGTTGGCATTGGGTGTGTCAAAGTTAGACCGGTCAGAGCCCCCAAAACTCACGAGACCTTCCATGTAAGTTTCTATACCTGTGATGTTCTTCTTGAAAGACAAAAATCAGACCAGAGTGCCTTTTGGAACCTGTATGAAAACTACTTTCTGTGAACAATTCTTTCCGTGAATCTCTTTGTTTACCTTTGCTGTCTTTTTTTGTATCATGTATTTTCATGGAATCACTGCATCGGACTGTATTATCGGTTTTGCTCTGGAGTAGGTGGCAAGCTGAGGGTTAAAACATCTCAGCCTCCCCAGATTCCACCGTGCCAGCTAGTGATTAACCTCCTCAACATCATCCCACCCCTCTGCAGAAACCCCCTACTGGCTTGTAAAGACTATTTGCCAGCAGGTGTTTGATTTCCCCTGGCGAGTGGGACTATAAACCCAGCAGGGAGAGCATTGTACTGGTTCCCGAAAAGGTCAAATGAGTGTTCACTTTCCTGTGAGCGGCTCCAACTTCCTGACAAGTATAAAACCCAGAGTGAGGATGTGGGTAGGTGGGAGGTGAAATTGTGTATTCAGCTGGAAAATATAAATTATGGGTAAAGAGATTGTTTAGCATAGCCTGATTCTTGGACAAATCAATAATTCAGTTCTATGTAATATATTTTTTCTTTTAGGAGGAAGAGGAGGACATGGACAGCTACCAGGTAGTTTAGCACCTGTTAGCCTCATCTCAAATAAGCATGATTAAAGTATGTAATTACGCATTCCTGGATCTCTCTATAGTGTTATTTAAGGATTAAACAATGCATACTGGTTTTTTTGTTGTTTTAAAGTAAAACAGAGTAGGAAACACTGAGTGTTGTTTCGTACACTGCAAAGTGTGTTAGGAGTGGGAAGTCATTTGAGATCCTTTTCCAAGCGTGGAGATCCCCAGCCAGGCTCCCTGAAGATCCTCTTCCCTGGACATTTTCTCTCCGGAGTGAGTCAGCACCCGTTGCCCTTAGAACAGCTGTCTCATTCTGAGCTTCAGTCTACCCTATGTGTTTCGCATTTTTTTAAGCCAGATCTTTCCTCCCTACTTCCTGGAATCATACAGCATTTAGGATTTTTTTTTTCCTTTCCTTTCTTTTCCTAACTTCTCCAGGATTCTGTTTCTGTCTGTGCAATTCCGTCTGTTAGTCATCATTCAGGACTGTGAGGGCTCTTTGGAGCCTGATGATGTCATCTGTATAGTCACTCTCCTGGTTTTGTGTCATTCTAATTTGATAGAAATGTCTGCTTTCCTATAAGTCACTGATAAAAACACTGTATCAGATAGGGTTAAATACAGAGTCCTGTGGCACAACAGTAGAGAATTGGTTGAAGCTGACATGAATCACTGTTCCTCGGATGTGATATTTGAGTCCTCTGTGATTTCACTGAAGCAGATGCATCGCACGTTTCTCCATCTTGTCCACAACAATGTCATAGGCTATTTGGTTAAGTGCCCTAGTAAAGTCCAGACACACAGTATCTGCAGCATTCCACTGACCTACCCAGTGTGGTAACCTTATTAGAAAAGGAAATGAGGTAAGATTGGTATACATGTAGGTGTTGACTGGTAGGGTAGTTATTCTGTTGATGATAACCCCTTTCCCCTCTTTCCCCCACCTGTCACCCCCCAAAATGCATGAAAACAAGTGTGAGAAGCATTTACATGTTGTTGTCTCTGAGAGCCTATGTTGACATATAGAAAGCAGAAGTTGCAAAAGTTGAAGGATTCTTCTGATTATTCTAAGGTATATAAATTGGAAGTTTTTTTTCTTTTTTGAGAGACAGTCTCACTCTTCCACCCAGACTGCAGTGCAGTAGAGTGATTTTGGCTCATTGCAACCTCTGCCTCCCAAGTTTAAGTGATTCTCATGACGGAGCCTCCCAAGTAGTTGGCATTAAAGGTGCGCACCACCATGCCCAGCCTATTTTTTTGTACTTTTTATTTTTGAGATGGAGTTTTGCTCTTGTTGCCCAGGCTAGAGTACAATGGCGCAGTCTCTGTTCACTGCAACCTCTGCCTCCCGGATTCAAGTGATTATCTTGCCTCAGCCTCCTGAGTAGCTGTGATTACAGGTGCCTGCCACCAGGCCTGGCTAATTTTTGTATTTTTGTTAGCAACGGGGTTTCACCATGTTGGCCAGGCTGGTCTCGAACTCCTGACCTCAGGTAATCACCTGCCTTAGCCTCCCAAAGTGCTGGGATTACAGGCCTGAGCCACTATGCCCAGCCATACTGGGAGATTATTGAGTCCTGTTTGTGGGTTTTATCCATTAAAGAGATCTTTTAGAAGGTTTTTATTGCAAGTCCTTAAAGTTCTACCCCCAAGCCATTAGAAATAAAACTGGTTCTGGATACCTGAAAATACCCTTTCTGCTCTAGAAAATAATGCTTTCAGTTCTGAAAATAGCTGTTTTTGAATTATGGGTGCAGTCAACTGGTGGTAGTAATAAAGAAACTATTGTATACTACCTTACCTTTCTGAAGTATAGTAGAGTAAGATAGAGCATCAGTTTCAGATAGATTATCTTGACATTGCAATGAATATGATTTTCCTTGCTTGCTTCCAGGATCGGGATTTAGAGAGACTTCGTAGAAAATGGCTGAATGCGTTAACAAAACGTCAGGAGTACTTGGATCAACAACTGCAAAAACTTGTCAGTAAACAGGGTAGGAAAAACAAATAGAATATTTTTCTCCCCTGCACATCAATGCATAATTAATTATTCTCCCTTTGTAGCCACATCAGTTAAGAGTCAGATGAACACATCAGTAGTGGGGATGGCAGGAGCAGACGAGCGTTACTCCTTGTTTATGTCATATCCTTTACTCAGCTGTCATATCTTGGTGTAGGTCTTCCTTCCACCTCCCACAAAGACAGAAAATACAGTGCGCAAAGCAAATGTGGTCCCTCAAAGATAACTTAAAGGTTATCTTTGGTTAACCTTTATCCATAGCTAACTTTTCTTATCCGGAGGGCTTGAGTCCTCTGACTCTGGACCAGTTACACCTGTGTAGTCCCTCTGTAGGCCTCCCAGGAAGTGAAGATGGCCTCTCTGTAAGAATCCACCTGACCTCCCTAGCTGTGGGTTAGTTTATCATCACCGGGGAGCACTCATCAGCTAATAAGAGAAATATGGGGAAATCCAGCCTTGACTCAGGACTAAAAGATAAATGGCAAGTGGGATTTTGGCATTGAATCCTCATTCCTGATGTTCTAGATAAAACAGAGGATGATGCTGACCGTGAGGCGCAGCTCCTGGAGATGCGGCTGACCCTCACTGAGGAGCGGAACGCGGTGATGGTCCCCTCTGCTGGCAGCGGCATTCCAGGGGCCCCAGCAGAATGGTATGAACCGTGCGGTGTATCTAGTGAGGCTCTGAACTCTCACCAAGCCACCTGCTTTTAGCTTGAATTTTACTTGTGCTGCGGTTAATGGAAGATTCATGATAGCATGGGGGGGAAATGTTTAAATAAAAGGAACTTTAACAGTTCCTATTTTCATGAGTTGAATACGGCCTAAAACTGTTTTATTAAATAATGTTGTTATTGGCCAAAGTCATTAAGATTTCTGAGAACTTAAATCAATATTTAGTACCACTGCACTTAGCATTAAAAAAATAGTTAATATGTTAATTACTTGGGTCATTCCCTTAAAAGACTGTTCGGTCATAAGAAAATTGCATCTCCACGTGATTTTGGTTTTGGTGCTGGCTTAAACTGTACTGTCAGCAAATGTTCTGTGCTACTTTATAGAAGTTAAAAATAGTAAATTTAGCCAGAGGGAGCCTTTAAGTATATCATTTTATAAGAAAGTAGGTTTAAAGCAGAGAACTTGACTATAAACAGGTGGGGGCGTCTTCCAAGGCTAAGTTCAGGCGTCGGCGTATGAAGTGGCAGCAGCCGCTGTGAGGGCTTTGCGGCCTCTCTGACACTGGATTAGAGTACAGCCAGGGCCAGGGTTATTACTGCCCTGCCCCGTAACAGCCCCGAATGCCATTACGGCTGTGTTCCTGCGTGCGTGCCGCCGAGAAAGTCGCCTGATTCAGATGCCATTTGTTCTTCATGTTTTAGGACCCCAGTGCCTGGGATGGAGACACACATCCCTGTTATCTTCCTGGACTTAAATGGTAAGTTAGGAGGTGTGTCCTGAAGGCTTAAAATTCGTGCCCACATAACATGCAGATTCCAACCCAGTTCATCATGAGGCAGTCCTGTTTCCCTAGGGCTAGAGCCAGTTTGACGTGTGCCCGCGTGCCCTGACAGACTGATTTGTGTGTCAGGCTCTCGTGTTGGTGACAGTAATCGGCGTGCTTCACCATGCTCCTCACATCTCATCCCTGCAGCTCATGGTGCCATGTGGATGCTCTACTGCCCCAGTGTTAGGATGGTAGCAGCATGTTGTTGTTGTTGTTATTTTTTGATGGAGTCTCACTCTGTTGCCCAGGCTGGAGTGCAGTGGCAAAATCCCAGCTCACTACAACCTCTGTCTCCCAGGCTCAAGTGATTCTCCTGCCTCAGCCTCCTGAGTAGCTGGGACTACAGGTGTGTGTATCACCATGCCTGGCTAATTTTTTGTATATTTAGTAGAGATGGATTTCACCATCTTAGCCACGATGGTCTCAATCTCTTGACCTCAGGTGTCTGCCTACTTGGCCTCCCAAAGTACTGGGATTACAGGCCTGGGCCATGACGCCCAGCTCTTCTTTAATTCTTAGGGAAAGACTTCTCTCTGGAAAGGACTACTAGCAATACTTACGAAGCATGTTTCCTTGTGGTGGTTTCTTAGCATTATCAAATAAATTTCTCACTTTTTACATAAGTTCTTGTGCCATTCATCCCTGTATTACCTGTTTTTTTTTTTTTAAAAATACTGTCATTTTTCTGATTACCACTCACCCCCATGTGAAATATTTTCGAGCTGGATACATTTTATGTATATTCTGCCTATAGGAATTCTACGTGTAGGATGGAAGATAGAAAATGGAAAGGTAGATTAAGGATCTAAAAATAAGTTAAAAGTCAACAGTTAAATTGCTAAAACATCTGCAGAACTGTGTATTAATATGAACTCTCCTCAGCAGATGAATGTGGCTCTCCTCTGGTTTCTTCCGCCCAGATGACAGTGAGATACAATCTCTGAGGCATTTAGGATCTCCTGCCACTTAGTTTATTTAGATGGAAGATTTTTCTTTGCATACAGAGTTAGAGAATAATACTGATAATACAGCCACTGTCTGTTCACCTGATGGGGTAGAAGTTGTTTTTTAATGTTTGCCCCAAGACTGTATCCTGCCATGGTGTTCTCCTGACCTTGTAGCCTGAGGGTGATTCTGGCCTGTTCTCAGTTAGGCTTCCTGGGTAGGTGAGGCCCTCGTGTTTGGGTGGGGGCAGGGATGTGAATAAGAAAATGGAAAAAATAAGCTTAAGGAAGATGTGTTAGTCTGGGGATTCAAGGGGGCGACCAGGACTTCGGTCAGCCTGGTACATGTTCTCGGTCCCCGCATGCCCACCTCCTAGGAAAGGATCTGTGGATGTGTGCTCATCAGCTCCAGGTGAAGGGGAGTAGGGAGGGCCAGGCTCGGTCCTGAGGAACCAGGGGGCCGTGGTGCAGCCCTTCGGTTTCCAGCCATGCAGCCAGTGTAACCTTCTGCTGAAGGTCACTGTCAGGTGCCTGGAATCACCCTTGCTCGTTTCTCATTCCTTCAGTGCACTAAACGGTAGGGAATTCGGGTTATAACTGGTCACTGACATTGATGAGATGATCCTGGGTAACCTCTTAGGTATCTTGGTTTCATTTGCCTTCTGTGTAAAGTAAGGCATAAACGTAGCAGATTGGATGAGATCATTTTTTGAGGCACTTTCTTATCTGTAAGATCTGTGAAGTTTTAAATGGTCATCTTCAGTGTCATGTAAAATATCCGCGCAAAAAGCAAATGAAATTTGAAGCAGAAGAATTTTAATAATCACACTGAAATTTAGCTGGTAGGGGTTATCCTTGAAAATGATCTCAGTATTTAATGGAGCTTCTTTGCTTTTAGCTGATGATTTCAGCTCTCAGGATAATCTTGATGACCCAGAAGCTGGTGGATGGGATGCGACCTTGACTGGGGAAGAAGAAGAGGAGTTCTTTGAACTGCAGATCGTGAAGCAGCATGATGGGGAGGTAAGGAAAGCATACCTTGGGAAGAGCAGATGAAAAGTGGTTCCTTAACCTCTCCTCGCGCTTTTTGAAACAGTTAATAATCATGAAACAGACAGTCATGCCAGTGCTTTACATTTCTCCAAATACATAAAGAAAAACGTTTCATCATGACTTCCAGAAGAATGGAGCTTGAACATCATAGTATATCAGTTCACCTTTTCCTTCCTTTCCTGGTAACTTGTACTGAGCTGGCGTGGGCAGTTTAGATCAGCAGCAGTCAGGAGCTTGAGGCTCCATTCCTCGACCGGTGAAAGATGGAAGCAGGGGCTGTGGAAGTGTATGGGGGTGAAATGGCACCAGGTTTGGGATTCACTTTGTTTAATTAGTTAGTTAGTTTGTTTGTTTGTTTAGATAGAGTCTTGCTCTGTCACCCAGGCAGTGCGCAATGGCAGGATTTTGGCTCAGTGCAACCTCTGCCTCCCAGGTTTAAGTGATTCTCCTGCCACATCCCCCTGAGCAGCTGGGACTGTAAGTGTGTGCCACCATGCCCAGCTAATTTTTGTATGTTTTTTTTAGTAGGGTTAGGTTTCACCATGTTGGCCAAGCTGGTCTCGAACTCCTGACCTGAAGTGATTGCCTGCCTTGGCCTCCCAAAGTGCTGGGATTACAGGTGTAAGCCATTGTGTCTGGCTGAGATTTGCTTTGAAATCCTTTTATAAGGACTTTTTTTTTTTTTTTGGGAGACAGAGTTTCGCTCTGTTTCCCAGGCTGGAATGCAGCGGTACGATCTCGGCTCAGTGCAACCTCCGCCTCCTGCGTTCAAGTGATCCTCTCGCTGCAATCTCCCAAGTAGCTGGGACTACAGGCGTACACCATCACGCCTGGCTAATTTTTGTATTTTTAGTAGAGACGGGGTTTCACCGTGTTGGCCAGGCTGGTCTTGAACTCCTGACCTCAAGTGATCCACCTGCCTCAGCCTCCCAAAGTTCTGGGATTACAGGTGTGAGCCAACGCACCTGGCCAGGACTACTTAAAAAGGAAGAGAATAGGTGAAGGCAGTATGGTGACATCTTGATTTTAATGGTGGTATCTGAGTGATGGGTATATCACGGGAGTTTATTTTCTAATTTTGAGTATGTTTGAAAAATTATGAATATTTTCAGGAAGGAAAGCTGGTATGTGATGCTTTGAGGACATATTATTACTTAGTAGTATCCCTAAGAAGCGCAACTTGAGTCTTAACAGTGAGGAATCAGTCTGACACATGCAGTGGCCATTCCTTCCATAGAGCTCTGGGCCAGCACCCTTCCAGTTCAGCAGGGGCAAGTGTCACCAGGAAGGGCTGAGCAGCTGTTGTGGATTCGAGTAGAACAGAGGGACTTGACAATGACAGGCAGTGTGTTTGAATCCATATTCAAACATTTGAATATGGATTCTATATTAAATGATAATGTATTGCTGTTAAATTTCCAGGATATGATCTGTACCTTACTTGAAAGGGGCTCAGCTAAAGTAATAATGTGTGTGTGTGTGAGCTGCGAGACGGAAAAGCACAAGTGGCCCAACTATAGCAGTTGGTGCATTGTGATGAGAGGGGTGTGGATCACTGGACTGAATTTTTGCAGCTTTGCTTGATGTTTGAGCATTTTTTAATACTAATTTTAAAAGTAAGCCAGCCAGGATCATCATGCTCCAAACTTTTCAGGTGAAGGTGATTGTGGCCACACTGCCCCACTCCATCATCTCTTCAGGGCCGCTGTCATGGTAGAACTTTGCTGGTGACTGGCACGTGCCCTTGCAGCCTGAGCCAAGGTGGTTTCCTTGAAAGAGTTTTCTGTTTCTGGAGAAGAGGGAAACCTATTTCCTTTCTGTCTTCTCTGCAGGCGAAAGCAGAAGCCTCCTGGGACTCCGCGGTACACGGCTGCCCTCAGCTCAGCAAGGGCACGCCTGCAGACGAGCGGCTGTTTCTGATCGTGCGCGTGACGGTCCAGCTCAGCCACCCTGCCGACATGCAACTGGTGTTACGCAAGAGAATCTGTGTCAATGTTCATGGCCGGCAGGTTAGTGTTGAGTGGAAGAAATGCTGTAACCACAGGTGCGACCCGAGGGCACGGCTGTGCAGTGCTTCCTCTGACCTTCTGTCCAAACAAGCTCCAGGAAGCGCTGAGCTTTTCTTTCTCAGGTGACTGCTGCTGTCCTGGACCCATGCTTGCATCAAGACCCAGATGTGTCACTTGCCCCTGAACAGTATTGTTAAACTGAATCTTTCTTAGAGCAAATTCACAAACCATGGTCATTCTTTTGGGTACCTCCCAGCCTGTCAGGGGCAAGGCCGGTGGTTTGGTTGTTGCCTTTTCATCTGGGCCCTGTAAAAAGGAGTTTCCTCAAAGACCAGCTGTTAGTTCATTAGGAGAGGGCTGCCTCCACTTCTGTTTTCAGACTTTTGTTTTTCTGTGAGATGGAGTTTCACTCTTGTCACCCAGGCTGGAGTGCAGTGGTGAAATCTCGGCTCACTGCAACCTCCACCTCCTGGGTTCAAGTGATTCTCCTGCCTCAGCCTCCTGAGTAGCTGGGATTACAGGTGCCCGCCACCACGCCCGGCTAATTTTTGTATTTTTAGTAGAGATGGGGTTTCTCCATGTTGGCCAGGCTGGTCTTGAACTCCTGACCTGTGGTGATCCACGTGCCCGGCCAGCCTTTTGTTTTGTTTTGTTTTGAAGAGATAGGGTCTTGCTCTGTTGCTCAGGCTGGAGTGCAGTGATGTGATCATAGCTTGCTGCAGCAGTCACCTCCTGGGCTCAGGTGATCCTTCCACCTCAGTCTCCCGGAAGCTGGGACCCCAGGCACATGCCACCATGCCTGGCTAATTTTTTGTATTTCTTGTGGAGTCCAGGTATTGCCATGTTGCCCAGGCTGCTTTCTAGACCTTTTACCTCTTGCAGTCTTTGATTTGTATATTTGGCTTTGGGATAAAAAGGTGAATGGGAAATGAGTGAGCCCAGTGCAATGGTGCACGTCTGCTGTCCCAGCAATTCAGGAGGCTGAGGCCACAGGATCACTTGAGCCCAGGAGTTCGAGTCCAGCCTGGGCAATGCATCTGAAAACAAACAAAAAGAAGTAATCTGTCCTTTAAGAGCTGAGTTGATTTGCACAGGTAGATACGTAACAGGCAGCTGCCCTCAGCCCGAGCTGAGCATGTGGTGCAGGTCCTCAGCACTTGTGGTGAGAATGCAGGTTAGAGAGGGAAGGATTCAGCCCAAGGGAGTTGGGGTTGGTGGGGGTATTTCAGAGAGGAGGGCATCATTTGAACTGGGACTAGGAATGGCATTGGCCAGGCAGAGGAGGAGAAGATGGAGTTCTGTGGATAGGAGGAAATACATGTGCAGAGAGAGTCGGGAGGGCAGGATGGGGCAGGCTTGGGGACCGCAAGGAGCACTATGTGCCAGGGATCCTGCCTGTGCCAAGGAGCATGGCTCTCCATGTAGTTGCAACTGGATTATGAAGGACCTTGTGCCATATGAAGGGGTTTAGTACAAAACTTCTAGATAAGAATTTAAGGCCAGGTGCACTGGTCACGCCTGTAATCCCAACACTTGGGAGGCCAAGGTGGGTGGATTACTTGAGGTCGGGAGTTTGAGACCAGCCTGACCAACATGGGAAAACCGCATCTCTACTAAAAATACAAAATTAGCCAGGCATGGTGGTGCATGCCTATAATCCCAGCTACTTGGGAGGCTGAGGCAGGAGAATCAGTTGAACCCAGGAGGTGGAGGTTGTGGTGAGCTGAGATCGCGCCATTGCACTCCGGCCTGGGCAACAAGAACAAAACTCAGAAAAAAAAAAAAAAAGAGAGAGAGAATTTAAATTCTTTCTGTTACTGGTTTTGCAAATATAAGGATTTGGGAGACTGCATCTGGGGATCCTTTTAACCGTCTTATCTCTCTTTTTTTTTTTGAGGCATTCTCAATACACTGACTAGAACCAGTACAGATGAAAATCTTTTCATTTAAAAGAGCACAGTGATGGTTGACAGACTCCTAGATGTAATCTCCACCCCTAAAAATTAATCTTTAGTTCCAAATGTCACACTGATATCAATCTTTGAAATGAAGACTGGCGGTAATGCCATTAAAATTGCAGCTCTTTAGCTTGGCAATCCAACATCAATAAAATCCAGGTCATGGGGTTAGCTATAGATGTATATGGTGTGCTCCCATTCACTCTTTCGGTCCCCCTTTTCTCATAAGTGTGTGAGGGTTTGAAAAAGACACACCGCTCATGGGGAGCATTTTGAAGAGTGATTTTCCATTTCATAATGAGACATCCTGGTTGCCAGGCCCTCAGACTAACCTGGCACCACCACCAGCCCCACAGGGTCCTTGGCAGAAAAGGTACATTATACAGTCACCACGTGTCACTTGGTTTTTGTTGTTTCTATTGTAGGGACAATAGGTTGCCATGTTTTGTTTTGTTTTTTTTTTTCCTGGTTGAAACGCTGTGGAAGTATTTTTAAGGCACACCATTTTCTTTATCAGTTTCAGGTATTTCCTTCTTAAGAATGGTCATGTGGAAAGCCCTCTTCTTATTTGTAACAAGAACAGGAGCTCCCACAGGACGCTCAAGCACACATGTCAGCTTCACTAATACCATACAAATGGAAAACCAAAAAGGAGAATAATGGTAGCATCCACATCTCCCTTCGCCACCCTAAGGACAGTGATCTCTGTACCTTGAATGTTCTAATTAGCCTTGGATCAGCACTGCAGGGCTAAAGTCAAGGGAGAAAAGCAGTGACATAAATGGTCTCTTTGCATTCTGAGATGCTATATTCTTTTTAAAAATTAACCAAAGATCATTGAATATGAAATAAGTTATCATTAGGTAGGTTTGTGAAATGATGTATATCCAAGACCACATAGCTTGGCTTTGCTATTTTCTTGGGGGCTTCACGTGTTTCTGCCATTCCTTTTGCATGGGGAGAAAGCTCAGTGCCCGTTTCACATTCTCTCCCCCTTACCTTTGTTCCCTGATGATATTCTGCTCTCATCCCTGCTCTCCCCAACCTCTGCAGGGTGTTCAGTCTTAGCAGCATCTCAAAATGAGTCATCTCTGCATTAATTCAACAGTTCAATTCCTAACTGTGCAAAGAGCGTAGTCAGCATAAACAATGACCGTGCACTCTTAAATCATTCCTCATAACGATCTTGCTTTGGTCAAGAATTTAATGGCTGGACTTGCCAATATTCATGGTACAAGATGTCCATCGTTCTGGGGAGGAAAAAAGTGTAAGCATCACCAGTCCTTGCTTCCATCTTAGTTAGAAGGTCATTTTATTGTGTGGAACTCAACAAGCTTGTATTCCTGTAGCTAAATGCTAAGCAGCATTCATCCATATGCCTACTGCCAGCTTACAGTCTTGGTCTGTATGTTTCCTGTGTTGCGTGTAGGGCCTGTCACACATGGTGGGCCTCGAGTAAGTTGGTTTCATATCACAGGACAACGCTGAGGAAACTGTACTTGGTGATTTCACTTGCTTAGTTGGAAACGTGCTCTGTTTTCTCATAGTGAGAATGAACCAGTATGTTTTAAGCCGTCTTGTGTTAATATAAACTCAGTTTTTCAGGTGGGAAATCATATATCTTCTATTTTGTTTTTCTCCAGGGTTTTGCACAGAGTCTCCTAAAAAAGATGTCTCATCGAAGTTCTATTCCTGGCTGTGGAGTGACTTTTGAAATTGTCTCCAATATTCCAGAGGTGAAGGATATACAATTTAATTTACTAAAAATAAACACTTTAAAAGAGTCAACTCCCTGAAGAGTGACTTACCCAAGACATAAGTATGAAGTGAAAGTGTATGTTTAGGGAAGCTATAGATTTTTATGGAATTTTCTAATATCCACTCATAGTAAAATGTACTTGTGGTTTTAAAAGTTTTAGTATTTTGTTGGAAAACTTTCACTGGAAAAGCAAATCAACACCTTTTTACACAGAAGATGACAGAAGAGAAACATATTGTACCCAGGATGAGAAGCAGCATAGCGTAGAGATTCCACTTGGATCCTGAAGTCAAACAGAAATCTGTTTCTGTCATTTATTAGCAAAGTAAACTTGGATAATTTACTTTGAGCCCATATATATATAATATATATTATATATATATATATTTTTTTTTGTCAAATGGGGTTAGTAATACCTTCCACACAAAGTGGGTTTTTTTGTTTTTGTTTTTGTTTTGAGATGGAGTCTCGAACTGTTGCGCAGGCTGGATTGCAATGGCACGATCTCAGCTCACTGCAACCTCTGCCTTCTGGGTTCAAGTGATTCTCCTGCCTCAGCCTCCCAAGTAGTTGGGTTTATAGATGCCTACTACCATGCTCGGCTAATTTTTTGTATTTGTAGTAGAGATGGGATTTCACTGTTTTGGTTAGGCTGGTCTCAAACTCCTGTCCTCATGATCCACCCGCCTCAGCCTCCCAAAGTGCTGGGATTACAGGGTGAGTCACCACGCCCAGCCTGCATGAGGATCAAATGAGACAGTATATACCAATTGATGTGCATGTACTAGAGAACATGTTATCGCTACTATTGTTGTTACTATGATTATTATGTTATTAGTACTGTTATTTACCTGTCTGAACTCATTGAGATATTCAGACGATTCAGAAAAGCAGAGCTTAAATTGATCCCTGGTAGAAGCTTGATGGAAGATGCGGTGTATCCATGCTTCCTAAGAGGTGTCCTGAACTAGACGTGTATTCATTCACCCAGGCACCGGCACAGTTGGGAAATGGGGCATCCCTTGCCAGGCCAGGAGAAGTGAGGGTCCTAGGGAAAGGACTCTGAAAAGAGTAAATTCCTTCTCCCACCCTCACCCTAAAAGAGCAGGGCATAGGCAAAGGGGTGGACACTTTGCGTCCTCAGGGGATGGAGAAGTAGGGGTGAAAGACATCAGAGGACACCCCTCCTCACCATGCCATCAACACCAGCGCCAGTTCCTGTCATTTCAGGGCTTAGGATTTGTCCATTGATTATGTTGAGTATTTGAACAATAGGCGAACAGTTTATATTTTAACACAGAGATCAGCTTTTGGAGAAGAAAAATACTACACAGTACTTAGGCTTTGTTTTAGCTCTCTTGTGTTGCAAAATGCTTTTCCCTCTCAAGTCATGTTGGAGAGTAACTGGTTTTTCCCTGGATCTTTAAAGTGGTAGATTTGCTTAATAAATATTAACCATCCAATTTAATTTGGAGTTTGCAGAACATATAAAAATAGAGCCTGCTTGCAGAGTTAGTGGTCGCACAGTCTTGGATCTATAATAGATTACTCGGTGTGCTTCATTCACTCTTGTTTGTAAGATTTAAAACGAGTGTACGTCTATGTCTAGCTAGAGACTTACTGTTTATTCTCTGTATCTAAACGTTTTCTATGTGTTCCAGTTGTTTCAGATCTTATCTCTCTAAATGGCTTGACTGCAGTTGAGAAACAGTGACTGTTTGAGGGAACTGTCTTCAGTTCTTCTTTTCTCTCTCCATTTCCCTCTCCTTTTCCTTCTCTCCCACTGAGTTTCTTACTCCTTTTAAAAGTGCTTTTATTCTCCAGGTTTTAAAAAGGAAGAAATAAGGGGGGATCAGCTTGAAGATAAACATCACCTCATGATTGCACTGTTAATTAGCTAAATAGCCAAACTGGCAAACATTGTTTCCACATTATCAAATCTTGATAAAGGCAAAATAAAACATAAAGCTGATTGTATAAAGACTAGACCTAAAAACAAAAAGATTCCTTAGTAGGCAAGTTTCATCATGTAAAAGCCCTAAAAATTCCTTGTGTTCTGTATCACAAAAGCCGTTAGGGCATCATGGCCAAAAGAAGTGGTCCAGGCCAGAGGCAGTTTCTTTCTCCTTATAAAATTAGGATAATGTCTATTTTCTTTAGACACAAGTATTCTGTATTGCGGTGAAAAGAATACTCTACCAGGAGACACGAGACCTCAGTTCTGGCCTTGACTCTTGCCAGTTGTGTGGTCTTCCTCTTGTTATCTAGGAAATAAGGATAAGTCCTTCTTTTCATGGTTATTATGAGGTTCAAATGAATTACTGTGTGAGACAAAAGATTTTGTGAACTGAAGCCATCTACAAATCCTCCCATATTTTATCTGTTTTAAAACTCATTTAAATTTTTAAAAATATCTTTGAAGTTATAATGTGTCTTATAATTGATGGTATCTTAAAATTAATTAGCAGAGGTTTTTTTTATCCCCTTAATTGTGTATAAAATATTTTGTCTTACAGTTGATAGCATTTCAGATGCAGTGGCATATGGATACACATTTTGTAATTTTGGCATTATTATAAGAAATTTACAAGTGAATAAAGTACCTGATTTTCCCTGAGAAAAGTAATTTGTTAAGAACCCACTTTGTGGCTGGGTGCAGTAGCTCACACCTGTAGTCCCAGCACTTCGGGAGGTCAAGGTGGGTGGATTACAAGGTCAGGAGTTCGATACCAGCCTTGCCAATAGGTTGAAACCCCGTCCCTACTAAAAATACAAAATTGGCCAGGCATGGTGGTGGGCACCTGTAGTCCCACCTGCTTGGGAGCCTGAGGCAGGAGAGTTGCTTGAACTCAGGAGGTGAAGGTTGCAGTGAGCCAAGATCATGCCACTGCACTCCAGCGTACGCATCAGAGCACGACTATGTCTCAAAAAAAAAAGAAAACACCCCTTTGCTTGAAATAACTAAATACATTGATAAAGCCTGTTTCTGACTATGTGTGTCCCATTTGTATGCACGGCTAGCTCCTGTCCCAGGATTGGGGATGGGTTGTACCAGAAAGCTCAGTGCAGGAGAACCGACCTAGAAAACCTCTCCTTGGTCGGCTCGAGGCCTTTGGCCTCTGCCACTTGAGCAGAAAATTGAACCCAAGCCGCCATGTTCTGTTTATGTCATTTACCCTGGGCTGTGTTGTGGCAGGGGCTGAAACCCTGTGTCCACTAACATCTCTATACCAGGCCTCCTCCCTGGGAGGCAGCTTGGTTCCCACCCTGTGTGGCAGCCACCGCAGCGCCTCTTTCCTTTCTCTGTCCCTGTGGAGTTTGAGGGCAGTGGGTAATGTTCCTGAAATACTGTTTCTATGGTGGTTACATTTCTGGCTAGTCTACAAAATTGTTTCTAACTAGTCATGGGTTTTTTGCAGTGGGAATGTAGTAGAGATCAGTTTTGTTGAGCATGTGCTGTGTTTCAGCTACTCTGTTTAAATTAACCAGGCTTTCAAGTAAACCTAGTCACCTGATCACCTTTCATTATTCCCATGGAAAAATGCATTGGCGTTCCAAAGCTGACTTTAAAATGGAATACGTTCTGTGCGTGTGTGTGTGTGTGTGTGTGTGTGTGTGTGTGTGTGTGTATGTGTGTGTAGATCAAGAAACTTTTATAACATATAACTTTGCGCTCCTCAGGACGCCCAGGGAGTGGAGGAACGAGAAGCATTAGCACGAATGGCAGCCAATGTTGAAAACCCAGCTTCTGCTGACTCAGAGGCTTATATTGAAAAGTACCTGAGGAGCGTGCTGGCGGTAGAAAACCTCCTGACTTTAGATCGCCTGCGGCAGGTTAGCAAACCATGTGGATAGGGCGGGCAGCAGAGCCCTGGTGCAGGCTGAGTCTGTGTTTGACTTTGTAATTCAGTGTTGTTGCGTCTGAACATTTGAAGAGCTCACTCTGATGAACTTTGAATCCAGAGTGATTATAATTGGGTCATCCTGTCTTACAAAGTAACAGCCTTTATTTATTTAATTTTAAGAAACTGTTTATGGGTACCTAGTAAATGTTTGTACTTAGGGAGCATGTAAGCTGTTTTGATACAGGCATGTAATATGTAATAATCATAACAGCTCTATTGAAATAGCCAGGAATGTGTGTGTATCAATGGCAGATGCACATCTGCTGTACATGGTGTTGCTTTCGTGGTGTGTCTCTTACTTGTCTTTTTCTTCTGTATGTTTTCTGATCCACAGGAAGTTGCGGTGAAGGAACAGCTAACAGGAAAAGGGAAGCTGAGCAGGAGGAGTATCAGCTCTCCAAATGTGAACAGAGTAAGTGTGTGGAACCCAGTCCTGTGCTCTGCTTGGGACCTCTCTCCTCTCCTCTTTTCTTGGGTAACTCTTCTCCACCCATCAAACCCCATCTCCAAAGTCCTTCCCTTCCCAGGACTGATGTCAGGGCCGCTGGTCTCGACCCCTATTGGCTCTGTGCACCTCTGCCCTCTTCCTACTGATACTGTAAGGGAAATAACACTTAAATACATTCCACGTGTTTCTTCTCTTCCAGTCACTACTGCCGAGCACCCACTGAGGTGTTCAGTGAATGTTAACCAAACCAAAACTAGCCAAGTGCCCATGGCAAGCCAATGCCATTTTCTGGGCTTAAGTTATTTTTAGGTTGAGAAGCAGTCTGGTCTCAGTTCACAGACCAGTTGTTCACAGGACAGCCAGGGTGGTGTCCGTGCGTCAGATATATCGGGCTGTTTCATAACAATGGCTTCAGCTGATTGTTGTTTTTAAAAACATAGATATAATTTATGTGCATATTGAACATGGGAATAATTATTCACAAAGATATACTCTTGGCCCCTTGACGTATTTCTCTTTTCCTCATTTTTGATGAAGATGTGGATATGAAAAGTGACACTTTCATCCTAACTTCACACCGAGAGAAGTCACAGCACAAGCATGGTGAGAAAGGGCAGCTGACCTTAGCCTTAGCGCCTGAGAGAGGAGAGAGAGCGATCCAGAGTGATTGTAATTGGATCATTCTGGTTTCATGCTGGGGAGTCACGAGGCCACAGCATGGCTGCTAAGGATGTCACCAACCATCTCAGACATTTAGGAAGATCACTTTAACTCAAGAAAGATAATGTCTCATTTCTTCAGAAAATGATATATTAAAATATACTGACACATGCAGACATTGAATATTTGAGATCTAGTAGCTTAAATAGTTTGTGAGTGTATTTACAGTTGCTACAGATACCCAGAGGAAGGAATCATAAGCTCAGGCCATGGTAAGATAACCAGTAACCTGGTATCTTTCACACAGAAGGAAGGGATCACCCAGTGGGAGATCCCTTGTTCAGGTCCAGGCGGTTATGACCTCAGTGTGAACTGAATATCCAGAATTTACAGGAACCTCTCATCTGAAAGTTGTTCATAACCAATTCAATGTTCGTAATGTCCCAGAGACCACTAGTGTGCAGCCTTCATCTTGCAGCCTCCCTGCTGCCACCCAACTTGACGTTTGATTGACTGGGTTGGCAAAGGCTGGCACTGCCTAGACCACGTGTTGATGCTCTAATCCATAAAGAACTAACTCCCTTTTCTTTCAGTTGTCTGGAAGCCGACAAGATCTCATTCCATCATACAGTCTAGGCAGCAACAAGGTAGGTGTCTTTAACTATTTCTATCAGTTTTAAGGCCTATTTTCAACTTTTATCTTCTCAAATCTCAGGTTATTTTTGCAAGCCAGAATTTCCCCTACTCACATCTGTATTATGTGAAACTTACTGGAAAGTGTTTAGAGTTCATTTCTTTTAATCTGCCAATTAAAATAAGGTTTATTAGATTTTCTGACTACTGGGGTTGAAAAACAATTTTTCTGCTAAAGCTTGTACTTCTGTCTAAATTTTCTATTTCTGTTAGAAAAGAAACTTCAAATCAGGGTTTTATAGTGAAGTATTGATGTGTGATGATTGAAAATTTATGAGAAATAAAAGTATATCTGAAAGTCAACATTATTGTGAGAAGAAAAAGAGAATGGAAATTTCGTTTGCTGGAATTTGTTGACTGTAATAGAGCGTTCTCTGTTTAACAGTTTTAAGCATAGAGAACTCATTGTTGTTTACTTAAAAAAGGTTAGTGCTCCTTGAAACTGTCTTACCTGGGCCCCACACCTGACAGTTTGTGTGTGTCACTTTTGAGGGGTCTGGTTAGATGTTGGCACTGCCAGCCGTGTGCAGTGTGCCCCATGTTGATTTGCAGCCCTTGAGGAGGTCAGTAGTGGCTGTGGTCTTACGAGATGGTCTGATATGAGGGAGTTGTTTTCGAATCTACAAAGCGGAGTGACAGAAATTGGCTGCTTCATGACAATTCTTAAAGCTGGGTGGGGTTCATTATGCTATTTCTATTGTTAATTATTCTACACTTTGCTTTTGTGTATGTTTGACATTTTCATTATAAAAACTTAAGAACAATGAAGATGAAGTTGATGCGTTAATTAGGCACTTTTTTTTTTTTTTTTTTTTTGAGAGGAAGTTCTCTTCCTGTTGCCCAGGCTGGAGTGCAATGGCGCCATCTCAGCTCACTGCAACTTCTGCCTTCCAAGTTGAAGCAATTCTCCTGCCTCAGCCTCCACAGTAGCTGGAATTGCAGGCACCTGCCATCATGCCTAGATAATTTTTGGATTTTTAGTAAAGACAGGGTTTAACCATGTTGGCCAGGCTGGTCTCGAACTCCTGACCTGACGTAATCTGCCTGCCTTGTCCTCCCAAAGTGCTGGGATTACAGACTTGAGCCACTTCTCCCACCTGGAGACTCTTTTTTAAGATCTAGATTATTAGTAGTTTGCCTACACTAGGATACATATGTATGTTTATAGACATACAGATTGCCAGCTCATCCGTTCGCTGAAGCCCTGCGTGGACATGGGTTTCTCTAAGTGTGCTGAAGTTTATGCCTGTTTATACTCCTCCAGTGATAGGTTTGATTAGCTGTAGCTTAGTGTCAGTCTTGATTACCTGAAGAGAGCAGAGTTTTTGAAAATTGATTGTACATGATATTTTAATGTAAATAAAATATCTTAAGGAAAAGATAAGAAAAACATGACTTTCCGTGTGTTTGGGGAAATGTGCCTAACCTAAATCTCCAATTATAAGTTCCTTGAAAGAACTGGCCGGGCCTGTAATGCCAGCACTTTGGGAGGCTAAGGAGGGTGGATCACCTGAGGTCAGGAGTTTGAGACCAGCCTGCCCAACATGGTGAAACCCCATCTCTACTAAAAATACAAAAATTAGCTGAGCGTGGTGGTGCATGCCTGTAATCCCAGCTACTTGGGAAGCTGAGGTAGGAGAATTGCTTGAACCCAGGAAGTGGAGGTTGCAGTGAGCTGAGATTGTGCCACTGCACTCTAGCCTGGGCAATA